TCCAGCTCCCCAGCAGCCTGGGCAGCACCAGAGACTTAATGGGATGGAAGCCAGTGGGTTCTCCAAACCTGCCCTCCTCCCACCCCACCCTAGCCCAGCCAGCGACCAAGCCCTTTGCCCTCAAGCAGGGCGCAGAGCTGGTGCCCTTGGAGCCCTGGCTGCCCTGGGCCTTCCCTGTGTGTCCTGAGAATAAGGCACAATCCCCCCTCCCAACCCCCAAACCAGCACGAGCTCGGGGCACCAGGCCACCCTGCCTGCCCCATTGCAGGGCTCTGAGCAAGGACTCACGTGGGTGGTTTCCTCTCTTTTTAATCTTGGGGATTCCAAAGTGACTCAGAGCCGCCAGTGCTGCTGGACGAGCTCCCTCCAAGTCACTTGTCCCTTCCATGGTCCTGAACTCATTCCCTCCTCCTGGCCCCTGCCTCCCCACTCCAGGAAGTCCCCCCAGGGCCTTCTCAGGAGGCCCCTGCTTCTTCAAAGCCCAGCACTCCCCCTATTGAGCACGACAGCACCCCTCTGTCCTGGGGTCTCCCCTGGTCTCTCCTGGACAAAAGCACTCCACGGGGTCCTGAGGGGGCTGCCCACAGGTGGCCATTGTTGGTGGATGACTCATGTCTGTTGTCTCTGGAGGGCTTAGGTTCCAAGGGGCCCTGCCTTCGGAAGCCATGGTGAACAGCTCTTACGGGGTCACAGGGGTCAGTGAGAAAACAGGATTTGATTGACACAGATTCTATTGATGGGAGGTTTTAAAGAAAGCAGTTGCGGAGGAGGAAAAGGAGCCACATTGCACAGCTGGGCCGAGAGGCGTGCGCCCAAGTGCCATGGCCGGGCGCCCTCTGCTGACCATCTGACGCCCTGCAGGCCGCGAGCGCAAATGCTTAAGCCCAGGGGGGCTGGGAGAAGATGTGGCCCAGCAAACCATCCCGCACCCAGAGAAGAGGGCCTTTGTTATTGTTTTGCAGTACTGGGTTTGAACTCAGGGCCTACACCTTGAGCCGCTCCACCAGCCCTTTTTTGTGATGGGGTTTGTTCGAGATAGGGTCTCTCCAACTATTTGCTGGGCTGGCTTTGAACCGCGATCCTCCTGATCTCTGCCTCCTGAGTAGCTGGGATGACAGGCGTGGGCCACCAGCACCAGACAGGACAGTGCTTTAAAAAAAAAAAAATCACATTTTCTCTCATATGCAGAATCTAGACCTAAAAATGAACAAACAAAAACCACGGATACACAAAGGGGAACTATTTGCTACTGGAGGGAACCAGGGGGAGGGGGAAGAGAGAAAGAGAGAGAGAGAGAGATGGGGCAGATGTGATCCAAGTATGAAAATGTCATAAGGAAAGCCATTATTTTATAAAATAAAACACTCGACGTTCAGGAGCTGAAAATGCTAACTTCTGTGATTTGGTGATTGCGTCCTGTCTAGGAGTGTCAAAGCGTCACTCTGCACCCAGAAATACAATTCCCATAATAATCAATATTTTTCAAAGCCGCTTGATGGAGTCATAAACAACGTATCACAAATGCGCCTGTGGTAAAGGTGGAGTTGGTTTCAGTGCACGCACACAAGTGTCCCAGAATTGCTGCCAAACTCAGGCAGTCGGTGCCCATACCCGGCTCAACCCTTTCCTGGTGTTCCCGTAAAAATGGAAGTGTGCCATTCAGTTGTCTGCGTCCCTTTTCATTTTTGAGTTCCATCTGTGACACTGCAGAAACCGGACTCACTGCCTTTTCTTGCTGGGCAGTTTCAAGTCACACCTGCTTGCTGTCACCTGCCGATGAGCACTGGGCTGTCTTCTGGGTTTTGCTAATGCTGCTCTGGACGACACTTGTGTACCAGGCTTCGAGTGGGTGCACACTTTGTTCATCGCCGGGTTACAGGACTTTAACGTCTCAAGAAACTGCCGCATTGCTCCCCACAGTGGCTGCCCATTGGACATCCTGACCTGCACCGCCCTGGCTTCCAGAGTGGCCGTGACCTTCCTGTCCTCTACCTTGTGGCTTGGGTATGAAGTGTCCCCGAAAAAAAGGCTGTGTTGATGGCTTGCTCCCCAGCTGGAGGTGCTGAGAGCTGAGTGGATAGAGAGCATGCCAACTTCACCATCGATGGGCTATTAGAAGGTGGGGCAGAAGTAGCCCACTTGGGTCGTCGTGCCTTTGAAAGACACATCCTGTCCTGGCCCTTTCCTGTCTCTCTCTCTCTCTCTCTCTCTCTCTCTTTCCTGGCCACCATGAGGTGAGGAGCTTCTGCCACAAGCTCAGGTCACTATGATGATTCTGCCCCACCTCAGGCCCAAAGCAATGAGTCCAGCATGCCATGGACTGAACCTCTGGAAATGTGAGCCCAAATCAACCCTGCCTCCCTTAAGCTGTCCTCAGGTATGGTGTCATAGCCGTGAGAAAGCGTGAATAACACGCGCCTCCCTTTCCTCTGGCCTCTTCCCCCATTCTGGATGCTAAAGTTTCAGATAAAGGATGACCCTGTACCTGGCCCATGCTTGAACAAAGGAGGTGTTTGGGTTTTTTTAGATTAAATTAGCCACACTGTTTAGATGCGAGGATGGCTTAAGACCCCGAGGCCCAGCTGCATGTGAACACGGGGAGGCACAGTCCCCGGAGGCAGTCGAGTTCTCCTTGGCCACATTGTCTGGTTGCCAAGCCATCTATGCTCCCGGCTCTCCACCTCCAATGCTCCTTGCCCATTGCTTGATCTATCAAAAATCAGATAAATAACACTTTTTTTCAGCTAATGCGTCTATCAGAAAGGGAAACAATTACCCTAGAGAATCACGTAGGGAAAAAACACAGGAGAAAATCAAGTTTCCTTGTGGAAGTAAAGGCTCTCTGTTCGTGTGTGACACCCCTGCCTGGTTTCTCCTCACTTCACTTCAGACTCCAGCTGGCCTTTTAGTTTGTGAGTCCTGGCACTAAGCTGTTACGGTTTTATTCATTGACAAATAAATACCGAACACAGAAAACTACATGGTCAGTAATGCCAACGCCTAGCAGGGGAGCAGATGGTATGCAGCGTGTGTTCGGGTGATCAAGAGCTCAAACTATGGTGGCAGATAGAGATGCGGGCTCTTAAAGGTAAGGAGGGGACCTTGGAGCTGAGGCTGAAATTTGGTGAAGGGTGAGCCAAATGGGATATCTGGGGGAAAAACAGTGCCATCCAGGAACTTGACAGGCAAAAGGACATCCAAAACAAACTCGAGCCTGCCAATACCTGACCTGCCGGCCCCAAGAAAGCTCCAGAGGGGAGATGCCACTCAAGGAATTCACCACGCAACAGTGACCTTGCAGACCTCACACCTAATCTTCACACACAGTATTATATGCCCTAAAAGGTGCACAATATAATCCCTGTGTTTCAGATGGGGAAACGGATGTGGGTGACTCCCCCTCGATGGGAAAAACACGGCATTAAGACAAGGAGCCATCTGGTGGGCCACCAGGCCCTGGCCTCTGGGCTGGTACTCGGCACCTGCTATTGTGGGGTGGCTTCGGTCCTATGGCTTCCTCCCTTCCTCCTCCATCTTCATTCCCCTGGGTTCCTTGTTCTCCACTATCTGCAACATTGCTGTGTACTTTTCTCTAATTCTTTTTTTTTTTTCAGATGGTAGGGTTATTTTCCATTCAAGAAATAGAAACCACACCCATTATTTTAACAGAAAATTTTATGTAGAGGACTGTGAACCATCACCGAAGAAGTGCAGTAGCAGCATCAGGATGCAGCAATCACAGAGCAAAGAGGCTGGAAGAGGCTGAGAGAAGACCGGACCGGGGGACAGGCCCCAGTGGTGTGCCTGCAGGGACTGCTACTACCAGAACCAGCTGCCCCTGGTGAGGAAGAAGTGTCACTGGGTGGCGAGGATATCAACAGGATGAGAAGCAAGAGCTGAAAGGTGACATGGGACCTAAAGTACAAGCAGAGAGCAATGCAAGAATAGGAGATGAAGTAGGAACAGGAAGCAAAGCAGGACAGGTGGCTAAGTAAGAAAGGGAAGTAAAGTAGGAATCAGAAGCTGGAAACAGCAGGAACAGGAAGTAAGGCAGGACAGGAAGCAGAGGATAGGAAACAAAGCAGGAACAGGAAGTAAAGCAGACAGGATGCATCCAGTCCCCTTTGCCTTGACCACAGCTGTCACTCTGTCCACATCGCCACATCACTTACCTGGGGGGGTCTTTTTTTTCTCCCTTTGCCACACACTCCCTTTGATACAGCTGGAGGCAGGAACCAGGATGATGCCTTTCAAACAAAAGTGGTGAAACATCTGGGTACCATCCCCATCTTCCAGGGGCCCCAGAATGGAGCCAGGGACCCAGACCCTATCCCACGTCAATGCAGAACCTTTGAGGTTGAATCCTATCTCAACTTGGTACATTTATTAAGCTCATGGAAGAGTGGAGTTCAGACTGATTAGAGAAATGCATAAAAATTCATTTAGGTGATAAACTATTTTCTTTCAAGGGTATAAACAAAAGAACTAACTCATTGAATGTGCTCAGCAGATAATGATTTGAAAGGTAATTTCAAATCACAGTGGAAGAAACCCACAAATAAGAGAAAAATTTCCTCCAGGATCATCTTATTTTTCCTTTCTTAACATTCTGGTTTTGAACATCACTTTCCAATATGGACAGGAATTCAGTAAGGGTCAAAGAATTAAGAAAATCCCACTTAATAAGAGAAGCTGGAAAGGATTGATGAAGAAGGCAGAGAACAAATACTTCAGAACACAGCAGGGAAAGGACTCCCCCGAATAAGCATCAAAGAGAATCTGTCAAATTGACATTAAAATCCAAACCAAATGACTATGACATATAGCCCACATCCACGAAAGAACTATTTGTTATAAACAGCAAGAATTTGGGGGTCCTTAACACACAGAGCTGACAAGTGAGTCGTGAACAACAGAAGCTTATAACAATGATACAAAAAAATCAAAGAATACATTATTATGTATAACAATAGGTACAAGAAAGAGTTAACTGTCTTACAACAATTTATTAATGTATATACAATAAATTATCTTCCCCCAAAATCTTTCCAGAAATGACAAGGCAAGAAAGTATTTCTTTTTTGCATCTCTGGGAGATTTTTAGTGTAAACACAAAATATTTGAAGAAATGATTTTTTTAAGAAAGTAACAAGTGAATCTGTAAATGTACTTTTAAAAGTCTGATTTTAAAGGCATGAGGCTTAGACATCCAGAGGTGCTCTCCGACAGCTGGCTTTCTCACTCTAACACAAGTTCACAACTCCCGCTAGAAAGGCACATTGGGCTGGTCTCAGGTCCACAGGAGCACCTGAGAAGACGAACAAGAGACATGACACAAGCTGAGGACTAAGGGGCAAGTGGAAGAGGTTCCCGTCAGCATGCAGGTCCTCTGCAGCTGGACTCGACGACACCCGACATGCACAGAGATATGAGCTGAAAGGCTCCTGTGCCCGCCAGACAGGTCAGTCCTTCAGCGTGATGAGCCAGCAAGCATTTTGACGGTGCGTGTCTCTAGACCAAAAGAACACTACTCCTATACTACTTGTTGCACACAGGATAGTTGTCAGCAAGTCATAAAAGGCAGGAATGCAGACATGCAGCTGAGCCAAGCCACTAGGAGAGGGAACATGAATGAGTGAAACTCATGGTTGTGTGACACAGGAATGTGGTTTCTAAACTGTGCAATACCAGCCACACTTAGTGTTCAGAAGTCAACATATCTACATCGGTTCAAGCCAAACAATGCTAAAAGAGTCCCATGCTCACGCAGCATGGACAAGAGTAGCCAGGACTGACTAGACTTGGGACATCCTTCACCTTGTCCTGACTAGCTACTGTCTTACTAGGTATCTGTTCACTTGGTCCTACATTTAAAAGTCTAAAATTAAGCCATATTTTACACAGAAGGCATTAATAAGGAATATGATGTTTAAGCATCATAAATTCTTTAAACTTTGGGAATTACCTTAGAGTTCAGCAGACTATTAAGTACTGAAAACACTGAGTGATCTGTGCAATAGTTTCCATTCACAAGAATTACTTAGCTCCTGGGAATCACTCCCTCGAGTTCAGAGCAGTAACTCTCGGTGTCTCTGCCATCTTAAGCTCAGATGTTGTCACTGTAAACAGGAAAGACAACCCTGCTTCCATGAACACAGAGACACATCATCTTTACAGTGCGTAACTGTTTTCACCTCAGGCATGGGCGGGGAGAGGCCTCTCCTGCGCGCTCCCCAAGCCAATGTCAGCAGAAGGCACAGGAAGGGCTTGGAAGGCTGTGCAGCCAGTGTTCTGTGTCGATGGCAGCCTGCACACTGCCATAGGGAAAAGACCTACACTGCCTAGCTCCTCCACAGGCAACAACGAGTATATAAAAGGGGTAAATTAATGTGAATATATTAAACGATTCGTAAACATTTAAAATTACAAATATCTTACAAAACAGCTGTGATAATAAAAATTGTGTCTACAAACAAGACAAACGCAAATTAAACATAGTACAAAAAGTCTCTTAATTAGCACATGTTGGTTGGGAGGAGGGGAGGAAAAGCTAGTCTTAGACCTGCAATCAGAAAGTATTCCTAATTAAACTTTGCACACACTTTTAACACTGAAGTATCGTTTAACAATTGAAATTTTCAATCATTCCTTAGTTCAAGGCCACTGAAACAAGAGTCACACTATCAAGTCTCTGTGGTGCGCTATGAAGAGCGCGAGGACATCTGGGTAACCCCTTACAGCACTGCGTCATGGTGGTCTCCTGCGCAGACCTCCTGCTGTGCCATCTGCTAACACAGCGCTGGCCTCAGCCCGAGCAGTCTCCTGTCTCAGTTCACTCCTGAAATGACAGGATGTTGACTTTGCTGTAGGTGTGGTCTGACTCTCCAAGGGTAAATAGCTCTTGGGATGTGGTTGCTACGACAACGTTGTTGCTAGGATAACTCCAAGGGTCACAAGCAAAATAACTACACAAATAATAATGAACACCATTTTCTGCAAGACAAAGAAAAACGTTAATTTGCAATGTATCAAAGGAAAAACCAACAATGTCATTTTCTAACAAAATCGTTCTGAAATTTGGGACAGTTTAAAACAAGACCATCATTAAGGAGCCCCACGGATGCTAGGAAAGTCGGAGAAGAGGAAGCTCCCTAAGATGTGCTGCAACCTAGACCTGTGGGGACTGACTGCACCACGGGGTAAAGCAGCAAAGTGTGCCTCTGGTGACCCGGGCGTTAACAAACCCTCTCCTTTGATTCTAATGAAATTCCAGAACTGCTGGTCAACAGATGCACCTTTTTAAAACCTTAAATTTCTTACTGGCTGAAAAAAATCCCATTTGTCCTTTTCTTTTACATTTAAGCATGCATATGTGCGTAAGAAATCAACAAGACATCAGCTCTGCCTTCACTGCACCAGTGGCCTAGACCCAGGGAACAACTTCTTGTTTTTAACTGGCAAACATCCTCAAGCAATCTAAAGCTAAACCACCTTTGGCTGAAGACATTGGTGTCCTCAGGTAGCCGTGTGAGGAAAAGGGAGGGAGACAGAAGACAGAGGCAAGCCGTGCTACATGGCCACAAGCTGTCTTTCTAAACGGCAGAGTCCTCATTCTAAGTCACAGCTACCAAATGTGCCACCAAACACGTGCCACCAAACCTGTCACTGTCGTGGATGAAATCCTATTGCTCATGGCATAGTGCCTGCCTGGCATGCACAAGGGCCTGGGTTCCAGCAAAAGGAAAAGGACAGAAAGCAAGCCTGACTAAAACATCAACGCTGCCTTCACGGACAGAAGCGACAGTTGGCAAGGACTCTAAGCTGGATTAGGAAGGAGGACCAGCCTGTGTTCACCCTCCTCTGTTACAGGTATGAGGGAATCAGCTGACACAGGACCAGATTTCCCCAGGGTCACGGCAAGAGGAACCGTCTGCTAGTCAAGGTCAATACCAACCCATCCACAAAAAGCAGCGACCTCACTGGACCCCAGCTGAAAACTAACTATCACTAAGGTGACCACATTAAATGCACCATGCTATGGCCACTACAAAACATAAAGAAAAGGGACATTTTAGAAAGCATTATGAAAAGAGTGGAAAACCCCATCACCTTAGCAGAGGAAAATCACATAGGCCGTGCTTTCGGCAAGCGAAGGGGCACACGCTAGGTGAGACTGTGGGCACCTGCCTGGTGGAAGCCGAGTGCAAAGAGCCCTTCCACAGCTGAGGGCCAGCGCCACACTGGGCTGCACACACATCGGAGCCCCACCTCGAGGGCTGCACCGGTGAGCTGGAGCTGAGCAGGGCAGGTACTGCATCAGGAAAGAAACCTTACAGAGGAAAACACCCAGACACTAAAGAAAACCACCAAGTGACAATCAAACCTGAGTCCCTGCCACACAGGAGGGTGAGCTCAAGCACGACAGCCTGAACATTCTGGATGCCCTGGGCACCTTGCACACCCCACCACCACAAGACGCCAAGCAGTGAGGAGCAACTATGCGGAGGGGGCACCCTAACTTGGGGGTCAATGCATGAGGCATCGAGGAAAACAAATGGAGTTTAGGGAAAGTGAAATTCACATGGTGAGCAAACAATAAGGTGAGGGCACTGACATGAAGAAGTCTTTAAGAACTAATTGCATGCTAGTACATACAGCTTTCATTTTAATGAGAATTTACTTTTGAAGAAGACAGAAGCTACCAAATAGAAAATCAGACAAGGGTTTCATCTTATCACTGTCTCCCACAGTAAAAGGTGAGTCACTACATTTCACAAAGTCATTTTCACCGGTTGCCGTTGCTCTAAAGCGACAGTGTAAGAGCTCAATTCATCAGGCCAGATGTCAGCTTTTAACGGGCGATGAACTTTCCACCTGCTGTGGCAGGTGCTCCAGAGCACACTGAGTGCAGGGAAGCGCCCCCGAGAATGCCTCCTGTCACACAAACACACTGACATGGTGCGAGTGCCCCAGCAGTGACAGAACCTCACATGGAGTGGTGGCCTTGGTGTGACACTGGACAGCCACTGGGCAATCAGTGGATAGGCATGTATGCTTTCAAACCTGGCGAACACCCCTGGCTGATTGAAAGGTTAATAAGTGAATCAGTTGATTAGTTACTTACTGCCGCCCTGTCAGAGAGGCAGGCACCCAGCCACCACACCATCATTTGCCAACTGACAAGCCGATAATCAGAGCAAGCACAGCGAGGAGGGCTATGGACACAGCAGCAATTATCCACTTTTTCTGTCAAGGAAAGCAAGCTGATTACACCATGCCGACACACACTGCCTCCTCCTTCCTGGGAAACTGCACTGCCCACCAGAGCTAACTAAAGTTAAGTCACAGGACACCTGCTGGATTCTGCAGGCCACTTCCAGTTCTCAGAGAGACTGAACTTCCAAGGTTCAGACTAGAGGGGACAGCAGTAGGTCTCATCAGTGACCACACTGCACAAGTTTCTGAGGAACTGAAATAGAAGGTGAGCTTTTCTCACATCTGCTGAGCCATGCTGGCTCTGGCTGGGAAGCCCCTTTCTTTGTCTCCTGTCTGCTGTTAGCAGTGATAAGCTCTGTAGCCACTGTCGTCCCTGTGAGACTCTCGAGACTGAGACAGGGTGTCAACCCTACTGACAGGCTTCCATCACCTCTCTACAAAAGCACCAGAGCTAGGAGCATAAGTTTTAAATTCTTCCCCAGTAATGTGAATTCACAAGGGTTTCCCCTCATGCTTCTCGATGCAAAATACATGGGTCTCTTGCAAAGAGCCTCTGTCTTTGAGGGTCCCTTCAGTGGTGCCATGAAAGACACCAGGCCACTGGCTCAGGTAATGCCCTTCTCTCCTGTAAAGCAAAGGATTAGCAAATAAGCTAACTGAGAAAAAAGGTCCACTGCATAAAACTTGTAGCCAACCATTTTCAGGAAATCTCCAATCCACTGGTTCTGGAACTATCCAGAGCTCAAAGATCCAAGATGCCCAACCCAAAGCAGGGAAGCAGCACTGACTTGAGGTTATGAAGGGTTTTGGTTACTTAGAATACAAAATGCTTTCTACTCAGTTTATCTCAGAAACTTCTAAAATTTTTCACAGAAAGAATTATTTAAACATTTAAGAAATTTATTTTCTTGGCAGGCTTACAATACTGTATTATAACGTGAAACCCAATGAAGAGAAAACACTTAGTTGTCAAAGGCAGCTCACCCTTCTTGCTTTGCTGTGGTACTTCTTAGCCTTTTTTGTTTCCTCCTTTGCATGTTCCACGTAGTCTGTGGCATTCATAACATTCTTCTCTATGTTATTAATCATTTCACCCTGAAAACAAAAGTTTCAGCCTTAGCCCTCTCCAGAGGACTGTGTCATGCATGTTAAGACACCACAAGTCAGAAAGGTCATCTATACACGTCACGTGGTGAGATGAGTACTGATTTTTCACATCTACAGCGAGATGGAGGGTGAGACCATCATGGGTGTGTCGGTATGAAGCAAGCACAATTCAGTTTACACTTTCAACGCATGGCGTGGATGGGTGGACAGCTGCGTCAGACTCTGAGGCAGGCTTCAGCGTGCAATTTTCACACATGTGCGGTGAAGGAAAGGCAGCAAGCTCGGGTAAGCTAAGTTCACCACAGTGCGCGGCATTGGATATGTGAGCGACGGCATCTCTTCTAACGGAGAAAATCACGGCACTTCTTTAACACATCAGTACTGAGTACAGGCTCTGAGTGACGTTAGGTGGACTGAATTATTAACAAAAATGCAAACCGAGGGGTCTGTCACAGCATGTAGGAGGAGCACGCAACCTGGGTTCTGTCACTGGAAGACAGTGTGCAGTCGCAAGCAGCAAAGCACTGAGGAAGGACGGACAGATAACTCATCACTCAAAGGTACATGCCCTACTAGATAAGTCAATGCCATGCAACATGAGCAGACGTCTCAAAGGAATCAGGGAAGTGAAACTACAAATGTGAGGCCTTTCTAATGCACGGTGCTTGGCATGGAACAATTTTAATTAAGGCCTAATTACAAAGTCACTACTGTTCTTTCTGTATAGCTGGTTTCCCTCAGATACTCTCTAAAAGAATGACACCAACAGTCACCAGATGGAGCCCCACTCTCTAGTTCTTATACGGAAGGTAACAGTCCACCCGAGACCAGAAAGAACATGCATACCCCACACTTGCCACCGCAGTGTAGGCTTCTTCTAGAAAATGCCTGCTATGAGTTTCTCATGCTTATCTGTACGACACACTTCTCAAAATAAACATCATTCTTTGAAAGGCTGTTGGAGCCCATGGGAATGATTTCCCTCCGTGAACTGACTTCCCAACCTGCTGTACAGCAGCCAGCAAAACAGAAAATAATTGGATGTCAGCCTTTTCCAATGGGAAGCTGTAGCCAAAGCAGATCCTAATGCCAGTGTCGGGAGGAGTAAGGAAGCGTCTGCTTACAATGGGTGCATATGAATGCTTCTGCCTCACCTGGGGTCAGCTGCCTACTAACCAGCCACCCACACCTCCAGTGGGGTCTGACAATCATGGATGACCGATTCAGTCCCAGAGCACATGAGAACATGCAGACACTGACAGACACGTGCCATCTTGGTGCACACACAGTTTTACATGTTTGTAATGGCGAGAGTTCTCCAGGCTTCTCAGGCCCTTCCCAGCTTCCTCCACTCCCGGCCTGAGCTGCGGGCATACTGAGAACAAAGCCTAGTGAGTACAGTTTTTATCTCTGCCATGATTCATTTATTTGTTCAGACACTCTCCCCATCATCACCATAATGCATGCTCCTGGGAGGAACTTGAAAGCAGGTGTATTAGAGAGAAGTATTTACTAAGCTATGTGGTATATTTTCCTCTGGGACCACAGTTTTATGTCCTGAGCTCACACCATGTGTGCTTATACATGCATTTTATACCTGTAAGCATGTATGGAATGCATGTAAAACTTTTGTATCCTCTTTTAACCTAAAATTCTAGCACAAACATTTTCATATTTCATTAAAAACTCCTTGAACAAAACCTTCATGCTGCCCATGGCTGTCCACCAGGCTGGCTGGCTATGAACGTGCCACAGAATTAACTAGATCAGCCCCCACACTAGCAGAAGGTGAAGTGGCTCTCCAGTATTTCAGTATTCCACTCAGCACTGCAATTAAATCTTGAATTCTGATACTGGATGCAAAAGAGTGGCTTCACCTGGGTGACTTCTGTTTGGAGTCGCTGTGGTTACCTGAGTCTCCACAAACATGGCCATATCCACGAACATCTCGTGCAGCTCTCGGATGCTGGTCTCCAGCTTCATGATGTCTTTGTGACGTGACTCGATTTCATTGAGGGCTTGTTTAGTAATTTGTGAATCGGATATAATCTTTGAAAAACAAAAGAAAAGGAATATTACTGACTGATTGGCTTGGAAGTTATGAAGCAACCTGTGTGCACGAGCCCGTGGGCAGCCGCTCCCCACTCACATCTGAGGTGAAGACGGACGGCCTCCCACTCTCCAGCATCTCCTCCAGCTCCTCGTCGGTGGTGGTCCTTCCAGCTAAGGACGACAACCCGACCTCACTCAGCAGTGCATTCTTTCCAAACAGCAGCCTTCATCTAAGTTAGCAACTAACAGCTAACTTGTTACCAACATTTTAAACCAGGCTTTCCTGTGTATGTTTCTCACACACAGAGAATGAAGAGGAGAAGGAACCTAGGACTGAGTGGCAGGACACAGCAGGAGGGTTTTGTCATGAAGCAATCACAAAACCTCACCTTAACTACAGAATAACTTCGTGCACATCAGTTTTCCTACAGGCTGAACCTGGTTTCTGGCCCAACATGGCAAATGTTAGGTGGATAAGCAGAAGTGGGAAAGGCTGCCCCCAGCCAGGGCGGGAAGGGGCTGCAGGACACAGGAATGCCTGAAGTAATGACTGCAAGCTTTCCAAGGTTGACTAAAACTCTAAAAGGATTGCTAGTTAGAAAGTAATTTAAAGTCCACTCAGAATTTTTTCAAGACTATAAATAAACAATGGTTTTGGAGACTCAAGGAACAGGCTGCCATGAAGGTCAGACTGTTGTGATACCGATAAAAACAGATGGAATTTCTTGTCTGCTGTTCACGGGCGCTTGTTCTTGAGGCCACAGAGCCTGGGTACTCACTGATCTCCAGCTGACGCCGAATACGTCCCTTACTTCGCTCTCGAAACAGAGTCTGTGCTTCATTATACTCTGTCATGACTTCCACGAACTTTCGAGACAGCACTGAATGCTAATAAGTAACATGGAAAAACGACATTACCTTCTAACGGTCACTTCTGTTGAAAGTGAGATGTAAAAATATTACAGGCCTGAAATGCAAACTATTAATGTACTAACTCCCTCAGTGCATGCTGTACTAAAACCTATGCTAAGAAGACCATATACATTCTTGTTTAATGTCCACAGTGACCCTCCTGTCACCTTTGTGTCCATCCCTGAGAGGAGAGAACACTGTCATTTACAGAGGTCAGTCAGCTCCTGGGAACTGCTCTATGAACAAGGATCGGAGGGAGGAACCCAGCAAGCTGCCCGAGCTGCACACTGAGCCACCTCTGCCACACCGGGCTGAGTGTCCCATGTTTTTCTTTGCCACACCATGAACCATGAGAAGATGAACACCACACCACCGCACTGAAGCAGTCTGATAATGCTCTACTCTTCAAAGCAGAATTCTGTCCAGGGCTGAACAGATGCCTCTTAACGGTAAAAGATACAATCTATAAACACTATGCCCTGTCATTCAGAAATGTGGTAAGGAAAAGATGACAGCAAGGATGAAAGGCTCTGAGCGGAGGAAGTGATGACATTCTTCCACACCCCTCTAGTCTAAACGAGGCTGATGATCACACCTGGGTTCTTCGTATCCGAAGATCCACTGATGTCCGGTTCCCGCTCTCATCCTGATCAAAACTTTGTTCAATAGCTAGAAAGAAACAGAATGAGTTAGCTTTCAAACTCAAAAATCTGTTTCTTCAGCCAAACTTAAGCTGTTTTTCTTTCCTGTTTTGGAAACAAATGTCATAAAACTAAAGAATAGGTGTCCTCTACAGGGCTGGGACCTGGCTCCAGCAGTACAGCACCTGCATAGCAGCACGAGGCCCTGGGTTCAAACTCCAGCACAGCAAATAAATACTTACTAAAAATAACACTCCTGAAGGACTATCCATCGAGAGGACTTGCTTTCCTACCCTAACGCACAGATACACATATGTACACTCATTTACTCATAGAAGAAAAGGAAAGCTAGCCCATAAACTTTGAAAGACAGTCACTACAAAGGGGGAGAAGAAGCTGGGGACAGACACAGAATGAAGCCAGAATTCCTTGAAATGTTTTGCTTTTAGAATGACATAAGTACTTCACACAACTATAATGCAAAATTAAACATTAAAAAAGCAATGTCTAAAATTTGAAAAAATGAAGCTTAACTATAGATTAAGTGACTTAATGATATAGTCACGCAGACAAGAGCTATCAAAGTGACTTTCAAAGCCAGGCGTCTGATTGTACACTGGGACAAAGCAAGGTAAACTGCTTTGAGTGATGACATCTCGGTGGCCAGTGCTACCAGGTTGCTTGGAGACTGCTTTATGTGGACAAGAGGGTAGAGGAAATGAGCAACCAGGATTTAGGGCACAGCTGAGAAGAGAAAAAGTTGTGACAGATCCCAAAGCAGCAGGCTCTGAGTACAAAAAAAAAAAAAAAAATTAGCTCCCAGATTAAGCAAAACTCCTTCCTTAGTTCTTGATCTGAAGTATCAGTAAGCAATCCTAATGTATTTTATCCTAAAATTTTTAAATGCCTAGCTCTGTCCTCTGTAAGTGGCATGGATGGCAACAGATACCCCCAGGCAGACCTCAGTCTCTGAGTACAGTCTCTACTATGAGCAGGAGTCCTAGAGAAATAGCTCATCCCACCCTGGGGAAGAAAATGTTCCATATGAGACTAGATCATCAATCATGCCAGCAGGGAACTCATCAGAGGCCAAGAGGGCTGTGCCAAAAGGACTCAGAAGGCCAGGCAAGGTAGCACATGACTATAATCCCAGGAGGTGGAGACCAGGATTGCAGTTTGAGGCCAACACAGGCAAAAAGTTAGCAAGACCCCCATCTTAACAAAAGGCTGACCATGATGGTGCCCACCTGTGATCCCAGCTTTGTGAGGCCATGGGTAGGAGGCCAGCCCCAGGCAAAAGCAAGACCCTACCTGAAAAATAACTAAAGCAAAAAAAAAATATTTAGGACTCAGAAGTCCTGTTCTTGTCAGAAGATGGGACCATGTAAGCACCGGACACTGAGCAACTGAAACTCACAGCAAGTAAGAAGCAGTGACAGTGCTGCCAGCCCTCTCTGAAGGGTGCTGGAACCGACCAGCAAGAACCACACAAGAGACAAAATCCAGCTGATCCTGACTCTCCAGGGCCATCTGCATATGGGACAACCAGAGTTGAAGGGAGGGTTTACTCTGTAAAGAGCTATTTCAGCTGTGAATGATGACAGGAAGCAGCTGGGGTGTCACTACTAATAACTCCTAATCAATGTGTGGATGTTAGCAACAGTTATTGATAAAATCACAAACAGAATGCAGTCACATTTCCTGTAGTCATGACATCATACCATCTGTGATCAGATATATGTCTTCATATTTTAGACAATCTACAAGCCACCTGGATCAGGTGGATAGCAAGCACAGAGGACAGAGAACCTGCTGAACGACACATGGGTGCGTCCACAGCCCTGAGCATGGCATGTTCTGTAGGAAGGAAGCCGTGGCTCTCCAATGGAAGTAGTGCTGGGGGAAGAGATGGAGAAGGATCAGATCCAAAATGTCTGGCGGCACAGCAACCAACTGCAGTGCAAGGCTTACTTGGGTCAATTCAAGCCCCCCAAAATTAAAATGCCTCTGGAGAAATATAAACTCTGGATATTTTGGAAATAGTAGTAATTACAATTATAAATACTTTGAAACACAAACTTGAAATCATGTCTGTCTGGTGATCAGGTGGGCTGGAGTGCACAGGGGTCCAGGCAGCATCTTTGAAGCTTCTGGTTGAGTTTCTATAATAAGAGTTCTTCACAATCTACAGAGATTGTACTGGGTTCCATGCTAATACAATGTGTCTTTCTGCCAGATGGAGAAAAGCAACCTCTGTTTAGTCCTGCTGTGTTGTGGGCCCTGGTGCTGAGCTGAGCCAAACTGCCCTGCAGTCTGAAAGGACCTCAGCTGGGGAAAACACTACTCCACCTTCCCTAAGACCTGCAGTGTAGCCCAACAGAATAGCAAGGCAGGAGTAACTGCTTCGTGTTACCGGATGTGAATTAACACTTGTAATCTATTTTGAAGTGGTCACAGCTTGAATTTTGAAAATGTAAGAGAGTAAAAGCTTACAGGGAGGAAAATAACAATTGCTCTTGTTTTCATCATCAATAATCAAAGACTTACACTTTAACTTGGCTCGAATTTTGTTAGCAGTTTTCTTGATTTCTTTGTTCAGGTCTTCGAGCTCTTCTTTTATTTCTTTGAAAATTTAAAATAAGGCATCTGAGCATGGCATTCCACATAAGTACCACCCAATAACTTTAACAGAACAGCATTCTGTTACATATCCTAGTCCTCTTTCCCATGAGAAAACCTCAGCTTTCCCCACGGTTCTCCACGTGTGGATCTCGCTGGCAGCAGCGCCAGCTCTCCACTGCCTTGGCCCCACCCCAGACACTCCTTGGGGGCCCACACCCTGGCTTCACAAGCTCTCTGGGTGATTCTGGGACACACATAGTTAGAGAATTGCGGTTCAACCCAACTAATGGTCAACTGGCTGACTCCATCCAGTAGCAGAACCTGCACCCTCGCCCTAGACTGACATTAACCCTGGCCTTAACCTACCCCTACCCTGAAGGTGGAAAGCAGAGGTTCTGCTGCCTGCTAAACAAAGCCCGATGCACTGGTGCTGCCTCATCTTTTCCAGAGTTGGGGCTCTCCTGCACACCACCCCAACACACATCTCAGAACCACAAAGACAGGGAGGGAGTCACAGCATCCAGCAGAAGCAGAAGCTTTGGCTTGTGGGCTGAGGCTGAGGCAGGAAGAACCTTAGAGTGCAGGGGTTCAAGAAGCAACCTTGGCAACATAGCAAAACCCCCATCTCAAAACAGTAAATAAAAATTAAAAAGCAGCCCTCAGATGCAAGGCCACCAAGCTCTGTGAGACTCAGGCCCCAGAGCACAAGTTGGGAGACAACATCTACCCAGGCTTGAACCTCCTTCCATGCTCACACCATGCAACAAGTTAACATTTAACACCCTGTCCTTTTCAACGTAGGACCTGGTTTTCATTCTTCCACTGTATAGCTACTAAACAACTCTTAACCAAAGACAATGTATTTGCTTTCAGGGTGCCCTGTTACCACCTCTGTCCAATATTGTACTGGAATCAGTGAAATAAATCAATTAAAAATAAACAGTAGCCCAGCATAGGTGGCTGTCACCTGTAATCCTAGCTACTCAGGAGGCAGAGATCAGGAGGATTGAGGTTCAAAGCCAATCAGGGCAAATAGTTCATAAGACCCTATTTGGAAAAACCCATCACAAAAAAGGGCTGGTGGAGTAGTCAAGGTGTAGGGCTTGAGTTCAAACCACATATTGCAAAAAAAAAAAAACACCATCAGGGAAGCTCAGAACACCGAGGGTTCCCGACACTGGCATCAGTGTCTATGCAAGCTTGCCACTCCAGTTAAGGTGAAGGTGATTCAACACCTGTGCTACAGGTGGGCAGCGTACAAGGCACACAGACAGACAGACGACAACATACTTCCTTCCGGATTTGGGGCAGAAAGAATGATGCTGTGATTTTTCTTCACATCTTCCACATTCTGAGCTATCTTGGTGATACTATTTCTGATCTCCTCCACCTGGGAGAGACACAGAGCACACAGTCATTACTGTGGCACACATTTGCTATTGCTCTCATTACCCAAAAAGGGAAGGACAGAGGAGGAAATACAAAGACACAGAAGGAATAAGAGCCTTTTCCATTCTTGCATTGACATTGTTTTTTAAAAGAGAAATGTTTGGCTCATCCTGTAATCCCAGCTACTCAGGAGGCAGAGATCAGGAGGATCAAGGTTAAAGGCCAGCTCAGGCAAATAGTTCATGAGACTCTGTTTTGAAAATACACAACACAAAACAGGGCTGGCGGAGCACCTGCATAGCAAGTGTGAGGCCTTGAGTTCAAACCCCAGTGCTGCCAGAGAGAGACAGAGAAGAGAGAAGAGAGAAGAGAGAGAGAGAGAGAAACTCAGAGCCTCACGATTGCAGGCAAGCACTATTACCACTTGAGCTAAACCTCCAACCCTGAGATGGGGTTTGAACTCAGAGCTTCACACTTACAAAGCAGATGCTCGACTGCTTGAGGCACATCCCTATCCCATTTTTTTTACTCTGGTTGTTTTCAGAGATGGAGTCTCATGAACTATTTGCAGGCTGGTCTTGAACCATGATCCTCTTCATCTCAGCCTCCCAAGAAGCTAGGATTATAGGCTTGAGCCACTGGTGCCCAGCAGTATTTCTACTTTTATGACTAAGGCCTGCATCAGTCAACATTCACTAGCAAAACGTATTAGGTTGTAAAAGTTCCTACAATCAAGCCCAAGCATGACCACCGATAGTGACAACCAGAAGCATAGCACCCCACTGCCAGGACGCCAGGTAAGAAGATGTAAGCTCACCCTGCAGAATGTGCCAATGGGAATGCTCTCCTATGAGGAGGAATCACAGTTCATCATACGTTTTATCTTTCATACTCATTGCCTTTGACTTTTAAGTGATATAATTTATTTAATATTTATTTCAAAATGTCATGTACTCATTGCGAGGTTTATCCAGATGGATTCATGACATTTTCAAAAATCTTTGTGGCTAAAAATAAATAAATAAATAACAAAAAAACAAACAATTTGATGTTTCACAAAAAAAGAAAAAAATCTTTGTGATAGGCTGAATAATGGCCCCAAAGATGCTGTGGCACCGTGGGGAACCTTGAGTGGGCAGAGCATCCTGGTTATCCAGGCTGGCCCGCCATATAACCACAAGTATCTTCAAGGGAGAAGCAGAGAGAGCTGCAGCTACACTGCTGCTGCTCCCCGCCATCCACTTAAAATGGGGATTGCAACACAGTGCACTCCGCAACCCCCGTCCACATCCTAATCCCGGCACCTGGGAACACATCACATTACACAGCGAAAGACACTTTGCAGATGCGATTACCTTGTACCATCTGGGATGGCCCAATGACCACAAGAGTCCTGACTAACAGACAAGAGGGCAATGTGAGGGAAAGGAGGTGGGAAATGAGATCAGAGTCTAGAGTGCTGCACTTTGAGGATGAAGAACAGGCCACAAGCCAAGGACACAGGCAGCCTCCAGAGCTAGGAAAGGCAGGGCAGGTCCCCTTCAGCCTCAGAAGGGACGCAGCTCTGTCCACACCTTGATTTTAGCCTGCGTGACTTAGTGCAGGCAACTAGCCTGTGGCGGTAAGGCAATAAATGTGTGTTGCTTCAGCACCTGGTTTGCAGTAGTTACAGCAGCCATAGGAAACTAACACACATGTGAACATAAATATTTTTACGAAAGAAGGTATTTTCCTCCACAATCAGTGAAAATAGGAGCTGTGATTTACATTTGCTGTAGGTCTAATTTCTAACCTAACAACTGTCACATACCCTTTTGTCTTAGGCTGCCTCTGGAAACCTCCATCCCTGCACCTTTATGAAGGGAGCACAGTAGGGAGAAGGTACAGACATCTTAGTTTGATCAGGAAGACAGTTCTGAAAGGGCACAGGGTCCCACAAGTCCCCCTGGCCCAAGCACCAGAGCACATTTTGAAACTCTAAGAATTAAAGGATAGTCCAAAACACAATTCTGCTTTTTTACAAAGAACATCTACTCCATCAAGCCTGGGTGTTATTTCCATTTACATGCAATTTCTGTAGAAAGGCGTATACTTCACATACTTATAATTTAATTTCATTAGTCATGTAAAAACAAAAACTGATTCCTTAAAAATGTGTGCTATGTCATTTTGAAGGCTGAAATGCAAGTCGTAGGATGCATTTGAATTTACCATTTCTGAAGTGAACTTGTGGTACACCTGTCAGAAAACAGAGGGCAAGCTCCAGCTCTGAGTCTCTAAAGGTGAGTGTGCATTAACAAGTATCATTCACTTTTTATATGTCTGAGAAGTCATTTGATAGAAATAACCTGAAAAAAAACTAACAAATGAAAGCTTGAGCTTAAATTCAAATCCCAATGGGGCCAGTGGTTCTCAAAGGTCCCAGTGCTTCCCTCCTCACCCCCAGGCCCATGCACCAATAGCCAGAGGGGATTTGGAAGCAGAGTAGCAAAGGCTGGTGTCACCTTCCTAAGGCACTGGTCAGAGTTCTGCAGAGGAACCAAACCACCTTATAAAAGGCGACTGACTTACTTGGCTTTCACAATTGGAGGCTGGGTAGCCCCACGTCTAACAGGAAAAGACATCTAGACAATGCCCTCAGCTGCGATTTCAGCCTAACAACCGAATGGTCTTACTAGCTAGCATGCACGGCTCCATGGCTCAGGTGGATTTGTCTCTTTTTTTTGTTTTGGGTGGTCGTGGTATTGAGGTTAAACGCAGTGCCTCACACTTGCTAGGCAGGCGCTCTATCACTTGAGCCATTCTGCCAGCCCTGGATTTGTCTCTTTGCTCTCTTACTTCCCCACAATGGGGAATTCAGGATTAGCACACTTTCAGCCACCTGCTCAGCCATGATGCTCCCCAGCTCAGGGCCACAGGAGGGAGGGAGGAAGCACTGTCAACAGATCAAAGGCACCAGTGAGCCAGGAAAAACCCGGGAATCTTTAAAAACCTATCCTCCTCCTTAGAACAGTTCTATGGTTCTTTGGCATGTAGTCTGCTGTAGTCATTTATTTGCAGGCAAATTAATAAACCTTTACTTTATTTTCTTCAAAACCCTGCTCTCATTATTTTAGTCAGCAGGGATTCCAGGGGACTTAATTTTCCGCATCATACACTAACGAGGCAGAGAACCCAGTAGCTGGAGCCTTCAGAGCAAGGGGAACCCATGATGGAGTCCCTGGAGAGTGGCGGTGAAAGGCTGAAGAAGCTGCAGTCTGGTGTCCACCAGTACTGGGAAAATACACCTGACGCATTTTTCTTCATGTTTAACAAAGTCAAAGCATCTATTCTGATTCATTTAAAAAGTATGAAATAAGGCACTAGATCAAATGTCAAGCATTTAAGTGTGGTGCAGGCCTCAGAGCAGGGTAGGAGTAGGAATGAGAAAGATGGAAGGGTGGTGGACAGCAGCTAAGGTCAAGAACAAGGGTTACACCACCTCTGGTGCAGGCCAGTGTTCACATGGAATGCAGTCACTAAGCCATCTGTGATTTCCCTCCTGATAAGTCTTGTGTATAAGCAAATGCACAGTCATTCACTAAAAAATTTTAAGAAAACCTACCACACATGCCTTGTGCCCTAATCCCTTAGGGCACTCTGTGGGGAACCCCTGTGCAGCTGTGGAGGCCATGCTCTGAGGCCAGGATTTCCGCTGCTGAGGACCAAGGAGTCCTCAGTCCTGAGAAGCCACAAGCCTTATGGTGAGAACTTTTAAAAGGCCACCTGAGGGTGTAGCTGACCTCCAGGGAGCCTGCAAGGGCTGCCTGAAACCACCCAACTCTGCCCCACAGAGGGAAGTATGGGCACCAGCATGTGCCATGCCAAGTCAACCCTGCCCAGGGGCACAGACAGACCTAGAGGAGGCTCACTACATCCTAGAGCAGACTTCAATGTCACTTGCACTCAATCCCTCTGCCAAGCTTAGACGAACAAGAATCAGAGACTCACATCTGTTTCAATATTAGCTAGTATCGCAACAGAACTAAAAGGCCCAGATAGCTTAATAGTTCAAGCAACATTAAAATATACTTGTTCAGCACTAGGGAAGTGGAAGCAGGAAGACTTTGAGTTCAAGGTCTTCAGCACTAGGGAAGTGGAAGCAGGAAGACCTTGAGTTCAAGCTTGGGATACATAACAACACCCTGTTTCAAAAGATAAACAAAAAATGGGCCAATGCTGATGGCTCCTACCTATAATCCTAGCTTCTCTGGAGGCAGAGATCAGGAGGATCGCAGCTTGAAGCCAGCCCCAGGCAAATAGCTTGCAAGACCCTATCTCGAAAATATGCAATCAAAAAAGGGCTAGCAGAAAAGGTTCTAGTGGTAGAGCACCTTCCTATAAGTGTGAAGCCCTGAGTTCAAACCCCAGTGCCATAAAACAAAAACACAACTGTGTTCCTTTTGATTCTGAGATGTACAAATGAAAAATAAATAAGAGCTGGCGTAGTGGCTCAAGTGAGTGTCTGCCTAGCAAGTGTGAGGGCCTGAGTTCGAACCCCAGTACCATAAAAAAAAAAGGGGTCATGAATCACTGGAGACCAGGGACATGTCAAGGAAGGTACTGTTGACCAATTCAGTCACAGTAACATCACAGAGTGTACTTGTGAGGACAGTAATGTGACATGGGTCCATTGTTAACCACAGCACCATTATGCAGCACAGAGCTGCCCTGGTATCTCTATTATTTCTAATATGGCAAGCATAGTATTTTATTAATATAAGCAAGTTTACAGAGAGAAGTTCTGGGTTTCACTCAACACTCTTACCTGATGGAAGAAATCATCCATGAAATGGTCCTTTTCAACAACGATCGTCGTGTCTCCATCATCATTTTTCCTACACTGAAGTGGAAATACAAAACGAAAAATTCTTAGGCAGGCACTAAAGAAGCCAAAAGCAATTCAGGACCACAAGATAGAAACTCACTATAGCACCGTGTAACAAACTAGCAAGGCTCCACTCCCTAGGACAATCTAATCCTGCAACTTGTTCAGCAAAAGCCAGGAGGGGAAGGTGGAGCCCTTGGAGACAGGCAAAGGCTGGACTTCTCAGAACTGAGCAGCTCACAATCACTCATTCTCACTGTGTAAGTCAAAGGAGCTCAAGCTACTTTTGTGTTCATGCAGGGAGACTGCTTGTGCTGCTTATGTACATTTTCTGTGAAGATTGAAAGTGCTCACACACTAGTTACCTTTCCTAGAGCACACAGTAATTCTCAAAGACATTTCAACACACATTAGCTGGCACTCCTCACTTTTTCCAAAGTGGATAGCCTCCACACCATATGTCACGTTTAATGGTAAGAAACTTTAAGGAGGAAAGACAAATTAAAGAACACCTTAATGAGTGTCACTGGAGAAGAACAGAACCACCTTACCACGACTGAGAAGGCTAGAATGGTGTACTCACTAGAATCAATTTATGACACTATCAGAATTCAGAGGCAGGAGATGTCTAAGCTGGCTGTGCTCACACTCCATTGGGCAGAGCCTGGGGAGGGCTCTTCAGGCCTGGGGTCTGAGAACACAAGTCTGTCCAGGTTGCACAGGATGCTGGTGCTGCCAGCTGCAGGACTCACCTGGAAACCCTCCTTCCAGGCAGTCAAGAGCATCTGACACCAAAGGAAAGTCTAAATGAGCAAGAAGTAAGCCTGGAGCATGGCGAAATCACACGGAGTTTGTTAGTGACTGGCCACTGGCCACTAGCACCCCCAGTGAGGACTGACTGCCAGAGGCCCAGGGGAGGAACCTGCTCAGCCTTCCCCCCAAGGACCAGCCCTGTGAGTCAGCACAACGGTCCCCATGAAATGGAGTCTTTGCCCACTGAAAGTGTGACGCATAGCATTATTGCCCTACCCCACACAAAAACTTAAACAAAATTCTACTAAGATTTGCCTAGGAAAAATCTGCAAATGTCAACAAATGTATCAAGCAAGAGCAACAGATCCTTCCTCTCTCTAAGGCAAAATCAATTTGGCCAGAAAACCAACAGTAATCTCTTCCCACCCTAGAGAACCTTTGCTCCTCCTCTTGCACCCAGGACCGCTGTGTGTGGATAAGTCAGCTCATTGGTTAAGGGGAAGGTGCTGCCCGGAGATAGAGAAGGAGGGGTGGTGAGGCAGGGCCCAGAGATAGAGAAGGAGGGGTGGTAGCCAGGGCCAGCTTAAGGAAATGCACAGCTCACCTAAGAGGGTGATTTTACACATCCATGGAGCCAAGGGCAGGCCCCAGCCAGTGGCCTCAGGGCGCACCTGCACGCAGTATTCACTTGGCAGGAAGGTGGGCATGCCTTTTGAGGGGCAGGGCCAAATAATGCTGGGTCACCACTCTACTCTCCCTAGCACTGGAACTGCTCTCGAAAATACCTTATTGTGCTGCTGTTAACAGCCAAGGGTTACAGGTTGCATCCCCAAAACAGATGGTGAAGTCCTAACCTTCAGTGCCTCAGCATGAGCTGTACTGGAGCCAAGGCTGTTGCAGGTGTCATTAAGTCAAGATGGGTCACTCTGGAAAAAGGGTGAGTTCCTAATTCAGAATGTCTTACCTCTTCTAAGAAACAGACACAGGAGGCAAAGAAGATGACCAAAAGAGGGAGGCAAGGTTAGAGCAATGCCACTGCAGCCATGGCCGTGAAGCATCCAGAACCACAGCTGCCACAGTCTAGAAGACACAGGAAGAATCTCTCTCCTATCCCCCAGCTTTCAGTGAACAAAGTAAGATTACTTTGAGGTCCCTAATCCTAAAGCAAAACCATTCACCATGTTCTTATCATCACTGGTGCAGGAAGGGTTAGAAAAAAGAGTGGACACTTGCCTTATTTACTCTTTGCTAATCAAGCCAAGAAAAGCTGCTTGTGTATTCTACAAACAGATCTTTCTGAACATAAACCTGGCCATCTTTTGCTGAAATGGTCACACTCTCCTATTCTGGGACATACCGTTTCTTCATTTAACAAGTGCTTGAGCTCCTACAGGGTGGCATGGAAGACATTCTGCACGGCAAATGGTGCAACAGTGCTAGGTCTACTGTTTAGTTCTCATGTTAGGCTAGGCTTGCTGTCCCATGCAATGCTGACCCTCAGACTGCAGGGACATACTAGTAGAGGGAAGGGGAGAAAGGCCACTAGGAAAAACCCTCCTTGGAAGGAGTCCACTATTCTTGGGATGAAAGACCTTCCTCAACCAGAGGTGCTCACCTGACCCACAGAGCACAGATGATCCACAAAAATGCCACAACTCTCTCTGTTCTCCTTACTGTAGTACACAGCCAGTCCCATTCCAGAAGCCAGGGAGAGAAGTTAATTGATCACATGCCCTAGATGCCTTAGGGCAGCAGGCCTAGACCCTGTTCAGAGGCTGCAGTGATTCAGAGAGCAGAGGTTCCATCTGTGTGCCAGTAAAACAAAGCCCTAAGCACCCATCATGAATGAGTATCTGTGGTGCTGGGGAGCAAACCCAGGCCTTTCACATTCTAGGCAAGCACTCCACCACTGAGCTACATCCCAGCTCTTGGTTTTTTGACGCATGTAGCCAAGGCTGGCCTTCAACTCTCAATCCTCCTGCCTCTACCTCCCAAGTGCTGGGATCACAGGCTTGCACCACCATGCCTGGATAGTACAGCAGGAAAAAGTCTTAATTACTTCTGTTGGCCTACAAAGTCTCAGCTATTATACATTTTGTAAGCATCCACTATGGTGTCACTGTCAATAGAATGTCATCTTCACACATATGGAATACAACAAAAACAGATCTACTTTTAAGATAATTCAGCCTTCAAAAGAAGGAAATCCTGTCATTTGCAGCAACATGGATGAAGCCTGCGGTAAATGAAATAAACCAGGCACAGAAAAACAAATACTACTTATTCTCACTCAGGTGGAAGCTAGAAAGTTCATCTCCAAGTAAAGAAGTGAGTAATAGTTACGTGTGGTGAGGAAGTGATGGAGAAAAGACGGTTAATGGTCCAGGTGTGAAGCTGAATAGGAGACAACTTCCAATGTTCAAGACCACATGTACATTTAATTGTACAATTGTACATGTCTAAACCATTGCTACGGAGATCTTGAAAGTTTCCAGCACAAAGAAATGATAAACATCTGAGGTGACAGGTACACCAATTACCCTGACCTGATTATTCTACACTGCAAGCACACAAAGTCATACTGTACCCCCAAAAGTAGGTACAATTACTGTATCTGTCAATTACAAATAGAAATAATTTTTTTTCCTTGGGGTACTGGGGCTTGAACTCAGAGTCTTCACCTTGAGCCACTCCACCAGCCCTATTTTTGTGAAGGGTTTTTCGAGATGGAGTCTCACAATCTATTTGCCAAGGCTGGCTTCGAACTTCGATCCTCCTGATCTCTGCCTCCTGAGTAGCTAGGATTACAGATATGAGTCACCAGTGCCCAGACTAGAAATACATTTTTAAAATCTCAGTCTACTTGGAAGTACACTGCTTTCCTCGCTGAAGTAAACGATCACTTGCAGTATCCCTCGAGTGCCCGCACTCTCCCCTCCTGTGTTAAGAAAGCAGAAAGGCCACAGTCCTAGTTCCCCAATGCATTATTTACTGGGGAAAACACACAGAATGCAGTTGCAGGTTGTGTCTGCCCCACCCAGCACCCAGCCCTGCAGACGCCCAGTTCGCGTGGCCTATCTGTGCTGACTCTGTGGTGCAGCGTCCTAGTCAAGCCAGGAGACAAAGCAGCAGGCAAAGGGACCCTCTAGGGCAGGGAAGACGTTTGGACAGGTGTTCCAGGTTGTGATAAGACCTACCTATGCTGTGCTGAAAGCAGGCATCGGCCCAGAAATGCAGCCCTGCCTCGGACAGGAGGTCCATGCTGGGCCCCTGCCTGGTCCCTGAGACTCTGTACGACCCGGTGTCTCCACCCAATGAAGTGCTCGCAGCCAGAGTCAGAGGGCCACCAAGGCCCTGGCCCAATCGAGATGGCATCTGCCCTCCATAGCTTTGGGAGCAGCGCGGGGTAAGGCAAAGGGAACTCCCTGCTAAAGACCCCCCTACTGGAGCCCCGCCCCAGCAGCCCGTGTCCCAGGACAGCCTGAGATCCTGCCCTGGGGACCCAGCTTGGAGTCCCCGCCCCAAACTCCCGCCCTTGGGACCCCATTGGAGCCCCCGTCCCAAGACTCTCAGAGACCTCAAAAACCAGCCCGGAGTCCCTGCCCCAAGCGCTCGACTTAGGGACCCCGCGCCCTAGGGCGCCACTAGACCCCGGAGACCCCACCCCAGGACGCCGAGAGACCCCATAGACCCCGCCCGGAGTCCCGCCCTGGGGGTACCCGATTGGAACTCCCACCCCAAACTCCGCCTTCCAGATCAAGCTCGGAGATCCCGCCCTAGGGCACCCCGAGACCCCGCCCCAGGGGCCCCGAGACCCCGGGGACTCCACCCCAGGGAGCCTGGTGACCCCACCCAGAGTCCCCGTCCCGAGCTCCCGCCCGGGGGACCCGGCTTGGTGCCCCCGCCACAGGACGTCCTGAGACCTCAAGACCCCGCCCGGAGCCCCCTCCCCGAGCTCTCTACTTCGGGACCCCGCGCCCTAGAGCGTCCCGAGATCCCGTAGACCCCACACCAAGCTCGGCCCTCGGGACCCCGATTGGAGTCCCCGCCCCAGGATGCCCCGAGACTCCTGAAGCCCCCGCCCCAAACTCCCGCTTCCAGACCCCGACCAAAGCCCCCGCCACAGGGCGCCCCCAGATTCCTGGCGACCCCGTCCTCGGGCGCCCCGAGACCCCGCCCGGAGCCCCTGCCCCGAGTTCCCGCCCTCGGGACCCCGCTTGGCGCCCCCGCCCTCAGGACCACTGGCGTCTCGGTCCCGGGACCCCGCCCAGGCCCCGAGCGCCATCCGCCCCGCCCCGTCCCGCCGGCCCGGACCGCTACCCGGCGCGGCGCTCACCGCCGTCAGGTCCGGCAGCCGGTCCCGCATCCCCGCCGGCAAGCCAGGTGGCGCGCCCCGCCGCTCAGGCCTGCCCGGCGCCGCCTCCGGCCGGGCCTCGGACTCTCGGGTGGCCGCGTCGCCGCCTCAGCCCGCCGGGGTCCAGGCCCCGCGCCACCGCCCTCCCTCGGGCCGGCGCTGCCAAGGCAACCGCGCCCGAGCGCTCTGCGCATGCGCGCCCCGCGCCCCGCCCCTCCCATTGGACTTCCAGCCGCGGCGGGCGGAGCGTCTGGAGGGGCGGGGGGAGTGGGCGGGGCTATCGTGAGAGGGCGGGGCTTTGCGGACGGGGCGGGACCCGGCTTTGGCTGCTCTGGCAGGTCAGCTAGCTGTGCCCTTTGTCCCTTCCTGCCTGGTCTGAGACTAGAGCTAATATAAAGGAAGTAAAATTAAGAGAGGATTAATAAAAGCACTTAGCCTAAGACAGGCTTTGGGCCTCTGTATCAAGCAGTCACTGAAAACAGTATGCCTGGGACTTTTATGAGCCAAAAACTTTCTTTTTAGTTTTTTGACTTGGAATGCAAAAACCCTGCCCCATTGCTGTGAGTACAGAAATAGCATTACAGGTCACAGACTATAGGGTAGGCTACTTCTAAAATGTAAGGCCCCAGGGAACAGGGATTTTAGCCTGCTTTGTTCACACTCCTGTTGTATGCCCAGAAAGTTTCTGGCACATTGCAGGCACTCAGTATATATCTGTAAAAGAATGAATGTTCAGATCTGACTTCAACCCCCAGGCTTGCCAGGCACTGGGCTCATGTCTCTAGTCCTACCTGGGAGACTGACATAGGGAGGATCACAGTTAGAGGTCAGCTCAGGCAAACAGTTTGTGTGCCCCCCCATCTCCAAAATAACCAGAGCAAAATGGACTGGAGGTGTGGCTCAAGCAGCGTATTGCCTTATTTGCAAGCGTGAAGCCTTGAGTTCAAACCTCAGCACCGCCAAAAAAAAAAAAAAAATTCCAGCCCTACTAGCTACTCTCTGTGTAACTTCAAAAGTTTCCAATTTGTAAAATGGTGATAATAAACCGTTCAAGAGACTGTGATCTGTCTACTAATGTGCCTTCTTGATGGCAAACAGTAAATTTAAATCACGGGTACTTAATCAATTTACAATGCTAGAAAATCTTAGAAAGAGCATTCAATTTAAAAAAAAAAACAGTTAAGCCACACATGATAAATTTTGTTACAAGCTTTAAAAATGGGTTGAAAAATTATATCTGGTTGTAAAAACAACAACAAAACTCCCCTAGGAAAATCAGACTTGCCAGAAGAATCAGCCACATAAAAAATAACTAATGTGTAAAAGTGCAAACTTGCAAAATTGCCACTTACTTTACACTTGGTGAAAGAATCAGTTCTTAACATTAGATGTACACGAGTTACTCAGAAACAGCCAACCACCTGCACACAGCCAGATGCCCTCCAAGGCTAGAGGCTACAATGAGTGAATGTTTTGCACTAATGAACCGAGCGCTACAGAAATCCTTGTCTGAGGCCCATGTTTCTCTCTTATGTGGAAGACAGATTCAAAAGATAAACATATACACAAAACAAGCATGATCAGACACAAACTTACATGTAGAACATGTTTATAATAGTGGAACTGCTCTGTGGAACTTGGGGGAGGAGGGATAGGAAAAGAGAATGACAGCCTCAGCAATGTTGAGATACATAACATCTGTTCAGGTAGAGGATATAATGATATGCATTGAAAGGTATTGAAAAATGGGGGGGTGCGTGGGAAGGAGTAATGGGGGAAGGAGTTGAAAGGAATGAAGTAAAGTATACCCTTTGGACATCAACTTAAATATTAATAATGAAAGACAGGACTGTAAAATAGGTACAGTGGGAGAGTACTTGTGGGAGGGAGAGGGCGAATGAAGGAGGTTAAGGTGAGGGAATAGTTTGTGAGACTCCACCTCCAAAATAACCAGAGCAAAATGGACTAGAGGTGTGACTCAAGTGCTAGAGTCGGCCTGCTTTGCAAGTGTAAAGCCCTGAGTTCAAGCCCCAGTCCCACCAAGAAAATAAAAAAACTATTGAGTTTTGGTCATTGTTACAGCAGCAACATAAAACTGACAGTCATATCCAGGTGCTGTGGCACACACATGTAATCCCAGCATTTGGGGGATAGAGGCAGAAGGATTACAAGTTTGAAGAACATAGTGAGACCCTGTCTCAAAACAAAACAAGGCCGGGCACTGGTGGCTCATGTCTGTAATCCTAGTTACTCAGGAAGCAGAGATCAGGAGGATCACAGTACAAAGCCAGCCCAGGCAAACAGTTCAAGAGACCCTATCTCAAAAATACCCTTGAGTGGAGTGGCTCAAGTGGTAGAGCGCCTGCCTAGCAAGCATGAGATTCTGAGTTCAAACTCTAGTACCAAAAAACAAAACAAAACAAAACACCCTAAGAGTCACACTACAAGTAGGTGCTAGCTCTGGAGTGCAGGGCATATGTCTGGCACCCATTGTAGTACATATCCCTTATCCCAAGACCGTTCCAAGGGAATGAAGGGATGACTGAGTGAGGAGGGCAAGGACAGTGACGTACCTGTCTTGTCACCCTCCTCCCTGCCCACATAGCTGAGCTGTTGATGGAGAAGCACTGAATATAAGCCACACATTTAGTCCCCAAGCAGTATCTTGTGAAGTCACAACAGGAAACAGGTGTGAGATGTCACGGGGAGCTGACACACACCTCCTCGTGAAGCCTGACACACACGGTGGCTGTCATCTGTGCCGTCTAGAATCTCCTCCAGACCCTTTGCCTTACTTTTCCTGCCTGACTCGCCATCGAACGGCTGCTTGAGGCAGCAAACTCAAGTTAGCAGACTTTGTTGCCCAAGTTCGACTCACACTGAAGTGTGAGCTGACACGCAGAAGGACAGGGGACGTGGGTTACAGGAGTCTTAGATTTATGTTTGCGGCCTTTGTGCTCCCTAGAGAACAGGCTGAACTGAATGCCCTCCCTCTGCAGAGTGGTGTCGCCAAACAGGGGGCTGAGCAGGAAGGAAGGAGAGAGGGAGAGAGGAGGGAGGGAAGGAAGGAAGATGAGGAGACAGCACGTTTTAAAGTATTTAAGCTGGAAGAGAGCTTCCAGTGGATGAGAGCTTGCCTAGCCGCACAAGTCCGTGGGTTCAATCCCCAATATTGCAAAAAAGTGAAAAATAAAGAAATACTTGCAGCTGGACACTGGTGGCTCACGCCTGTAATCCTAGTTTCTCAGGAGGCAGAGACCACAGGATCACAGTTCCAGCCCAGCCTGGGCAAATAGTTCATGAGACCCTATTCCAAATAAATCCATCACAAAAAAAAAAAAGGGCTGGTGGAATAACTCAAGTGGTAGAGCACCTGCCTAGCAAGTGTGAGGCCCTGAGTTCAAATCCCATGCTGCCCAATAAATAAAAATAAATAAATAAATGCAACTAAACTTAAGGATATAACCGTAAGTAATAAGGAATGGGACTGCCTTTAAAAAGTTGATGACTAATTACATTTCACAGAATGAATTAAATGTTTAAAAACACTCTTTGCTGCTCTCCTTAAGAAATTTTCGAAAGGGAATAAGGAATGAGCAAGAGGAGCCGGGTGCCAGTGGTTCCACGCCTGTAATCCTAGCTACTTAGCAGGCTGAGATCAGGAGGGTGGAGGTTCGTGGCCAACCTGGGTAAATAGTTCACAGCACCCACCTGAATCAATAACAGCTGGGTGCAAAGGAGCGCTCCTGTCATCCCAGCCACCAGGGAGGCTGAGGTCAGGCAGATCACCGGTCCAGGCTAGCCCAGCCAGGCAAAAAGCAAGACCCTATCTCCAAAATCACCAGAACAAAAAGAACTGCAGGCCTGGCTCAAGCAGTAGAGCTCCTGCCTAGCAAAAACTGAGTTCAAACCCCCAAAGCACTAAAAGAGAAAAGAAAGGAAAGAATGAGCAAGGGAAATCATGCTGCCAAAAAGGTGGCTGTGCCTAAGAAGTAACCTCTGACCCTTCAGATAACAGTCACAGCTTCATAAACGTGTGGATGCTGTCAGTGTGTCCCCACCCACAGGACAGTGACCGGTGGACTGCTAGGACTCTGAGCTCCTGCCTCCCCCCCCAAGGAGCTCTCACTTCCCCAACTCCCTAGGAACACTAGCGCCCCCTGGAGGCCAGGAAGGGTGCTACACCCTCTATTTCCCTTGTGCCTTGCACAGGGACCATGGCCTCCTTTTGCCTAGAAGACAGTAGATGGGTGCAAGCCTTCACACAGCCAAACACACCAGTAACGCATGTCTGCGGCTGTATTAGGAAGGGGTCGCGAGAGAGACAGAGCCACCAGGATGTGTGTACACATCACATATGTATATGTACATATACATGTACACGATGCATACTTACATACTATATTTTCTAAAAACCTGTAGAATTAAGGCTACAGCTTGGGAGCAGCCAGATGGAAGGGACATGCAAGGTGGTCTGGGCAGGACCAGGTACACACAGCTTTCCTTCCTTGGCTCCCACTATTGTTCTCAGTCCCACAAACTCACCAACCCAGAAGCCTTCAGAACCTGGGTCTAGTGTTCTCATCCTGGGTTCACTAGGCAGCCATGATGGATTGACTCACTGACCATTGGTGGTTAACTCAACCTCCAGGCCCTCCAGTCCCCACAGGCCACGGGTGGGGCTGAAGGTTCCAATCCCCACCCTCAAGGTCAGTTCCCCTGGAACCAGTCCATCCTGAAGCAATCTTCACCACGAAGAGTCCTCTTGTTGGCAAAAATGCTGGGGTGGGTGAACGATGAAGGATGTGTTTAAGCATACATTTCTGTGCTGTTTTCAGTGAAGGGAAAATACTTTTAAAATTCCAGGCTCCTCAGACACTGTGGGGACCACAACAAGAAAACAGTCACCAGGGGACCTTAAACTTCTGGACTGATCTAACAAAACATACCACGAGTCACAGCTTTCCAATAACCCTATCTTGGAGTTGAATTGTGGCACTGGATACGTAGATATCCTAATCCCCTATATCTATGAACTTGGCCTTTTTTTTTTTAGAAAAGGGTCTTTGCAGGTAAGATGAGGTCCTTACAGTGGGCTCTACTCCAGTGATTTGGTGTCCTTATGAGGAGA